TTAATTTGTTTAGCTAGAAGCATTTGCCGAAAAAACCGGTGCCGATAGCAACAAAAACTGCGGGGATCCATGCAAAAAACGCACCTCCGCAAGAGCAGCCCATGCGTTGGCCAATTATCTTCATTTCGGCTACACCATTAGAGAGCGTTCCGAATATGAATGAATGATGAACAAGTTAGTAATTGTTTCAGGTATTCAGGCAAATATTTCTCTTGAAGTACCATTAAGGCAGATAAAATATCACTAATATAGCATGGGATCTCTATTTAAAACCTACGATATTCCTAATAATTACCTACGCACTAGACGTAACTATGTCAATTCTATCAGTGCAAGTGAACTACACCGAATGCGGACTGGCACATGCTTGGGATCAAAACTGCTATTAGCTTGCTTGCAAGCAGTCTTCGAAAAAGGAAATCATCGGCAGCCTTATTTGAGAATGGTTGATGTAGGGCCTGCCACCAGTCGAGTTTCTTCTAGACTGCCTCTTTCTGAGAAGGAATATGGAGAGGGTTCTGATTCCGATGCTGGCATAGTAAATTTTTGGGAAAAATAGTACCGGCCCCTCTTATATTCGATTTTCCTCCTTTTCCTGTATTAATTTCTTCCAAGAGTGGCTACTCTGATTTAAAAACTGTTTAGGGTTGATTGCAAGCTAGCGAATTGCTGGCTTCTAGAACTCTGTATTTTTTTGGCAGTGACAGGAAAAGCAACATTTCAAAGCTGACAGGTAGTGCTATTTTGTGAGGACTTGGATTCTGTTGCGAGAGTGTGGTTATATGCTAAAATCAGCCAAAAAGATTTCTTGGCAGCGACTGTGATTTCAGGAGATCACAAGTATGTTAATGATTACGGGAGTATGAAGCACAAATCAGAGATTGCGACTGGTTTAATCGCAAGGATTATGAAAATGAGCGCGGTGTATACCACCATACGTAAATGTTTGTCAGTTACGAGTAACTAAAACATTCAGATTTAAGCTGATTATGCAAATTTTCACGCTTAAAGGCGTTTCTCTAGAACATACCCAACACCAACAAAATCCAGAAGAGCAAAAAACGATTGTCCTGCCTTAGTCGTAAGAAGAATATTTTCAAACACTTTTTAAACACTTTTTTACGTTGTGGTAAGTAAGAAACAATACTTCCATGCGCAAGATCGAAGGCTCGACTTCGCCAGTAGGATAACCAGTTCTTCATGATTCGTCCATTCGTTTCGATGGCAAACTGGTATCGGCGCATGCCAAAGAGTTAAACTAGTCACTAGCTTACATCTAAGCAACTGCTGAAAGAAGAAAGCATCGGCAGCCTCGCTAGCAGGGAGTTCCTTATGGCATTTCCAGACGCGGGGCTATTTTTGATTACTTCCTTCCTCATAAAAGACAAGTTCAGGGAGGAGTTTTGACGTTCAACTTTAATGCTTTCACTTGTTGCATTTCATCAATAGCCAACTAGCATGAGCTATAGCATTTATTAGTTGTGAATCTGGATAAACCCGGTGAAAAGTGAACTTGGTGTAGCGAGGCAATCCCAAATTCTTTAAAAGCCACAGATGCTAAGTATTCTAATAAACATCCCTTGTGCCTGCATGACATGTAGTTGATTTTCATACGATATGATCAAAACCAAAATCCAGCCCACTTCGTACTCACTCCCTATGAAACGCAGAGACACTCGATTATGAGCAAGGAGCGAATTTCAATAGTAGTCTCCCTGTTAGCAAAATTGCGTTGGCTGCTTTTCCCTCCGAAGGATGCTTAGAATCAGGCTGATGACAAGATATACAATAGGACGTATTACAAATTAGAAGAAAAATGAGTACCTTTTAAAATTGAGTGAGTACCATTTACAGCACTGCTCTATCCATCTTTTGTCTCTCATTCCTGCTATAAAACCAGCTCAACTCTAGTTCGGGGCATCAATTGTTCCGACAGTACACTACTTATAGCGCACCCAGATAAATATGCTTCATGAGAAATATTTGTTTTTATGATTACATTGTTATACAGATCAATTTTAGTTGCCATGGGCTACTGCAAGATGGTAGATGTCAAAATTTGCATCTTAATGCTATATCTGGCTTAGTCGCAGTACCGAATAAAACTCAGGAAACAGGCAGAGGCATGATTTATCAGTATTCAAAACGTAAATGAAGTCAATGCCCTCCGAAATCTTGAAATTACTGTGTACAAGAAAAATTTCTCCCGATATGCGCTTCTAAGATTAGAGGCCTAACCGATGCAAGCCAAACGTAAAGGGGTAAAACTCTCTTTAAGCTCGGATCAAGATTTAGTCAAATTAGCTATTTTTACTGTGGAAACAATCTTTGTTTTGGAGTTTATGGAGCTTATTTTTAGTAATTAACAGTAAATTACGAACCGAGTTGAAGCAGAGTACAAATGCTAATCAAGGACTAAAATACTAATTAGTTGCGGTGTATATTTGGTAATAACAAAGATCGGAATATCTAAATATCCACGTAAATAAAGAATTAGCGGTTTGGTTGAGGTTAAGAAGCATTGGTCTATTAAGTTAACTTTTGCTTTTCGATGGTTTTTTGCGCAACCAGCGCTTCATCATTTCACCGATGAACCTTTAAAATTGGCGAAACTTGATTTTGCCACGGCAAAACTCTCACTCTCCACTAGACTTTGTTCTTCTCAGTTCACTTTCTCACATTTTTGCTTTTTAGTCCTGTGAATCTTTTTTATTTACTTAACGGCCCAAACCGAGCCGTTAAAGCGTATAAAAAACTTGCAGATAATGCTGGAGTCTCGAAAACAACGGTTGCAACTGCAAAGGTGCATCAAAGTGCTTCGGTAAGATAACTACGGAATTACTGCATATTCAAACTAAGTGTGGACGTGTGTGCGCATATTTTCGGTGTGGGTGTGAGTGTTTGTGTTTGATCGTGTTTGTGTTCGCGCATTGTGCGGGTGCTTTTTTGTGTATGTCTATTTATGCAGCACTGCTCGCGTCTGAATATATATGTATAAAGAAGAGAACGCTTTTTACCTTCAGTGCTAATCTTTTCAATTGCTAATTTCCTTGCATCGCTTGCATTCGATCAGGGTTTCCGATGAAACGTTTTGCGTTAAACTTCAACCAACCAAATCAATGAGATTCATAACCAGGGCGCTCAAATTAGTTGTGTTTTGGTCTTTCCTTGCATGTAGGGAAAGGGATTCCGCTAGGACAGTGGTACTGCATCTTGGGGCCGCGTAAAATCTGAACTTACAGCAAACACAATTACCATAAATTTTACTTGCTGCACTGAACTGGAAATACAAATTAGACAACGAACGAATGTCGAGATAAAAGAGCAATAGGCTCTTGCTTTCGAGTTTAGATAAAATAAGCATTTATCATGCCCGTCTGCAGAAAATTTAGCCTCCAGATTGAATTTAGATCACTGTGAATATAGGAAATCCATGCAAAATTTCAGCTTCGCAGCTTCTCCAGTAACTGAAATCGCCAGTTCGCTTCAAAAATCTTTGACGCTCCCTAGGATGTAGTACGAGTGCAGTTCGAAACTGCGTTTAGATATGTTAGAGGCGCATCAAAATTTTTGACGGGCAAGCCGCTAATTTGAAGACCTGAAAAGCTAGAAGGCTGTAATTTCACAGAGATCTTCCTAGTCCACGTAGGACCTAGTAGCTTTAAGCTCTGACCCCACTTGCGTGTAGTTTTCACATACGGACCATTGAAAATTTTTGACGGATAACTTGCAAAAACCTGCGAACTATTCAAAAAACGCATCTTAGCACCGACAGACTGTGCGCTGACTAATTATTATCTTATTACGATAGTATTCTGACTTATTAGTTTAGTGACGAAATGGGGCCTAGTCGTGATGGGTACTCTTAAGTAAAAATTCAAATTGCCTGGTACTTGGTGCAAAGTCCAATCGAGTTAGACAAGTGTAATAGAATGGCAGTATGCTTTCTCTTTCATTCTTTAAAAATCTAGGATCTTGTTTTTTGGGAAACTATCAGCTTGACATTTCTAGTAGAACATCAAAATTCATTCAGTTTTAGGGAAAATTACAAATTCCAGTAGAAGATGAGCACAGTCCTCAAGGATATGACGACGATGTGTATTTGAAACCAAAGGTCAGTCAAAACCTAAAGGTTTTTCCCTTTGAACTTATAGCAGCTTATAACAAAAGCACATGGCCTGCGTGGCCATGTGCTTTTGTTATAAGCTGCTATAAGTTCAAAGATTGTAAATGTGGTAAAACGTGTGGAAAATTTTTATCTTATCACGATGGTGTCGTGATCTATCAGTTCAACTTAGTCGTAATGGTATTTTTAAGCAAAAATTCAAACTGCGTGGTGCTTGGTACAAAGCCTTATTGAGTCAAACAAGTGTGATAGAATCGTAGTCGGCTTCCCCTTTGCGCCTTTATGCAATTTTGTTTTCTGAGAAACTACCAGTCTGACGTTTCTCTCTGAATAATAAAACTCACTTATTCAGCTTCAGACAGTAGTGCAAGTTTCTATGAAAGATGAGCACAAGAATATGACCAGTACTCAAGAATATAACGACTACATGAATTTGAAACCAAGCGTCAGTCCAAATCTAAAATTTTTTTGTCAGTAACCTGCGTGATCATGCGCTTTTACTATAAGCTGCTATGAGTCCAAAGACTGTGAATGTGATGAAACGTGTAGAAGTTCTTTATGCGTCTTTTGCATCTATGCAATGCAAAAACGCATTTTGTCGAGGGATTGACTGTGTGTATGTCTGCGTGTTTGTCTGCACCTATTTTTCATCTCAAGATCTACAAAAGCTACAGGGCTGAAACTTTGGAAACTTAATCTACATGCACGTACAGGCCCCAATCCTCAAAATAGGCGTTCGTACTCTAGCTTTTGCAGTGATACCCACGTATGGCCCATGAAAGTTTTTTTCGGGTAAGTCGCTAACTCGGGAACCAGGCAAGCTAGAAAGCTGAAATTTTAAGGGGTTGTCTCCTGACAATCCTGGCGGCCGGTCTTAAATTGTTTAGCAAGAAGCATTTGCCGGAAAAACCGGCGCTGGTAGCAACAAAAAACCTGCGTGGAACTATACAAAAAACATATCTTCGCAGCGGCAGCCGGCGCGTTGGCTAATTATTTGCATCTATGCAATGCAAAAGCTCATATTGTCGAGGGTTGCCTGTATGTGTATGTCTGTGTGTTTGTTTTACCGATTTTTCATCTCGACATCTATAAAAGCTACAAGGCTGAGACCTTGGGAAATTAATCTACATGAACATATGGGCCTCCATTCCCAAAATGGGCACACTCACCCACGTGGTTCCCACTTACGGTAATAATTGGAAATTTTTTGCAGGTAAGTTGCTAACTAGGGAACCTGAAAGGCTAAAGAACTGGAATTTTAAGGCGATGCTCCCCGTCTTCATAGATCTTGATGAGCCTATACCAGCTCCAGAATGTGAGTGGCTCACGCGTGGGGGACCGTGAAAACTTCTTGTGGATAAATTGCTAACTCAGGAAAATGAAAAGTTAGAAGGTTGGAATTTCAAGGGGATGTTCTCCATCCGCGCACGATTTATGGACTTCAAATTTAGCCTTAGGTGTGCATGGTTCTACCCATGAAAACTTTCAGCCGGTAAGTTGCTAACCCAGGAACCCAATAAAGCTAGAAAGCTGAAATTTTAAGGGGATGTTTCCTGACAATGCTGGCGGCCAGCCTCAGTTCGTTTAGCTAGAAGTATCTGCCGAAAAATCCGGTATTGCTAGCGACAAAAATCTGTGGAGAACTGTACAAAAAACGAATCTTCGCACCGGCAGTTGATGCGCTGGCCAATTATTTTAATTTTGACAATATTAAGACGGACATCAATAAAAAAAACACGACAGCAACATCACATGACGTTGGAATGGCACCAAATAACGGAAAATCCCGAACTATCGAGGCATCCCAGGAATTGGAATTACCAACTCCGTCCATGAATAGCCGGCCTGAAGAACTCCAGGCTTTGGATTGTTCCGAAGCTGAAATGAAAGAAGCATTGTCGCGCATGACTTTTTTTGACTTTGCGGAAATAGATACACTCCCAGAAGTTCCTATGAAGAGCAAATCGCGTAAACTTCCGGTAAAGGAGCAGCCAGAAAAGAAACACCTATCGGTAACTATTTCAGTTAGTCTGTCTCTTCTCTTAGTCGATTTCTTTTACTTTCATAACTTCGAAGAGCCTCAGCGTAGACACACCCGAAGCCAACTGTTTGTTCGTCTTCAGCGCTGCGGCTATGCTTATCACCTCGATCGCTCCCCTTGCCAATGCCACATCTATCAACAGATCTAAATCAAACCTAATCTCCTCATACAAGTTCAGCGCTAAAATTATCCATCACGACCGCGCACGTAGACTCAATGGTAAGACTGTTGTGGGCCCAGCATGGAACTCCATGACCCTCACCGTTGCTGACTATTATGGAGAGAGTCCCATGCGAGGTGTGTAAAATGGGTAATTTCTGAATTGCATAGAATCAAGCCTAAGATGCACGTTGCTTCACGTACACGACCTACTTTCAATAAACTCAACACCACTAGCACTAACCTATCATTCTTCTGTGGCGAGTCGCTTCTTACAAGAAAACGCGTGACGTACTGTCGGAGGTGTTGGTTCATTATTTTATGTCTCGCCAGCAAACTACAACTTCGAGCGTTTAAAAAGAAGTCCAGTTACTCTGCGGTCTCATTCATTAATCTGAAATTCCTGGCACTACCACTTCCTTCGGCTGCCATTCCCTAGTTCTTTTGGTTACGGAATTACAAAATCTCCAGCAATAATTTCCATGTCTACGTGTTCCACATGTCCGCGGCTTAAAAGTTCATTGTACGCCCACAGGTCCACACTAGACAGCAGCGTCCTGGTAAAATTACAACCTTTTATCTCCGAACTGTCACAGTGCCAGTCTGAACCTTGCTTGTACATGAAACGTGGGCGTGCGTGAAG